CGTGCACTCACTGCGGGGTACACTTAAATAGCCGCAGGCCGCGCCCTTACCCATGTCTAGCACATCCTGCAGCGAACCCATCGTGGCCACGCCGACAGTTACCCGGCGGCAGTCGCCGGCGGGTCAGACGGCGGTCCTCGTCCGGTGCGTAGGGCTGCGAGCCCGGCGTCGGCGGCTCCGTGACCTGTCGACGCGCCCCGTGACCTGCCGACGTGTCCCCAGGCGACATGGCGCCCCGGTACCGGGAGCGGCTGCTCGGCACCTTCCTGGCCGGCTGCCGGGACGGCGACCACCTGCTGCGCGCCTCCAGCCTTTCCAGCCTGGCCGAGGTGTGCGGCCTGCTGCGTTTCTCGCTGGCCGGCGCCGTGCACGAGGTGGGTGGCTGCCGCGCGCGCGTTCCGCGGGTCTTGCCGGTCGCTGGCCGGGTACTGTTGCACGGGGAGGGGGGTGCTGCTTGCGTCAGGCATTCCGCACGCGGTCTTGCCAGTGCGGGGTTGAGCGTGTGAAGGCTCCGCCGGGGGCCCTTCGTGGAGGTTGGCGGTTCGTGATGTACGGCTGTGTGTGCTGTTGTTGCGTGGACAGTCTGTTGTGACGTGTGATTGTGATGTGATGCTGACAACGACCGGAGTTGGTCGGGAAGCATTCCGCCACAGCGATCCTTCACAGGACTTGATGTGGGTTTTTTGAGGACACATGGTCCAGGGGCATGGAGCTTAATGAGTGTTACGCCAAGGCGTCATGGGTGTAGCTCAGCAATCAAACGCTGTGAGTTAGTGAAGGAAATGACTGAATGTACCGAAAACGCCCTTGCCATTCCGCGTAGTCTCCGTCATTCGTCAACATTCCGCGTATTCTCCGTCATTCGTCAACAGTTAGTATGACATGAAATAGTTAGGACGCTGGTGTGTAAGATTTGAAGCGGTGTGATGTGAAAAATGTGGTAGTGTCCAACCAGCTCGCCGAAGTAGGTCTGATAATTCAAACCGGGAAGTCATGTACCGGCGATTCATGTGGCTCAGCTTATAGAAGTGGGAGAGAGTTTGGGCCACAAGGATGTGGGGAGGGGGCTAAACGAAGGAGTGGGGGGGGGGGGGGAGGGCTAGCACAGAAACGAGCGCTTAATGTTTGGTCAGAATGTGTCGGTTGGCACCTGGACAATGGATCATGCCGGCACGGGGGTGGGCGTGTCGTGGCGCTACATTGTACGGGAATATCCTGCAATATTCCTATGCGAAAGAGCTGGGCAACGCGTTATATGTTTGCTGTGTGTTTGCTGTAAATCCCCAGGGATGTAGTAGGTTACAAGTTATACTTAGCAAGGTCGCGAGGCTTCTGCTTGGGAACCATTTACCATTTTTTTAGGAACCCGCAACCGGCTATTCCGTTTCAAAAGTACTCAAAGTGCTGTGAGTGGTGTCAATTTTAGCTTGTGAAGCGGGTCCCGGTTTTTTATAGGCTGTTCACTGCGGCAAACCGGGCCCGAAGCTTGCCGTTCTGACATATGCTGGCATGTCGCCAGTCGTGACAAGCGTCGAGGTAAACACTAGTCGCCGGGCCGCTATCCTTATGTGGGATGCTAACCTTGCCACATTCGCTGTTGTGAAACACCCACGTATATGCGTACCTTACGCGTCTGTCGCTATGATGGGCTGCAGTTGTGACGCAAACCTCTGCCGCTGGTGATCGAGGTGCGTTGAGGGGCGCTTCGCCAACCCGGCGCGTCAGCTCGTGTGTCAAGGTGACGTGCTTCTAACAAATAAGTGCCTGACTGTGATAGACACGTGCGGTGCTCCCCTGGTCCCCGCGCTCGATGATTTGCGGAGGCGCGGGCCCAATCGTTTCGCCTATGTCGTAAGTAGCTCATGGCCTATGGTGCCAGGCGTTGTGTGGCCACTCAGCAATGCTGTGACGCGGCGCGTGATGTGCCGCCGCCTCAGATCTTCAGCTGCCTGTCAGCTCTGCTGGACACGGACCCGGCTCTGGAGGTGCGCCGTGCCGCCGTCCTCGTGCTCGCGCAGCTGCTCACCGGACTCGGCGTAGACGCCCTCAGGTAGTGACAGACGGACTCCGCATGGGGACTGGGCATGCGCGGGCTTTGGCAGCGAGAGTGAGCAGTGTTTGGCAGTGCACACTGGAACTTGTACTGATGAAAGTGGTCACATACCCGATTACCTTGGTCCGTACGCATGTTCACTTGCTGTGGGTTGTGGGATGGGATGTGATGTTCTTATCGCAGATACGGTCGCAGGTATATTCCCCGTAAATGTGGCAGGGTTCCTATCTTTGTTCACAATTGGCCTGCTCCTGTGGAAGGCGATGTCAAAGCCTTTTCGGAGACGTTCATCACGATTTCAGTCGCCTGTCGTCTGCTTCTTTCGCATCCGCAGTAAGGGAAGCTGGGGCCCTGAAAGTATTATGACTCGAGCTGTACTTTGCGGTGAGAGGAAGCCATAGCGCACCATGTGCGTTCGATGTGCGCAAACATATCGATGTTTCGAAAGTCAGGTTAAAATTACGTTATGCTTTAGAAAGGGAGCGATGAGTGGCGCCATGAGGTTTAGCCCTCAACACATTCTGTGATTCTTGCCCGGAGCGGACGCAAGCTTGTCCACTGACGGAATATGTCTTCTCTTCGAAAGGGTGCTTCATGTTTGATGTAACCAGATCGCAGAACAGCTACAGTCGTCGCAACATATTCTGGCCTTGGCATAAAAACCATCTCGTGGCGAGTCTTAATCAATTAGTTTGAGGACACGATTCCGTTCTGTGTGGTTCAATTATGGCATTGTCAGCGATGACGCAGGGCGGGAAAGGCTCTGATTGGCTAGCGGGTCGCAGGCGTAACGTCTGCGGTGGCCACGTGTCTGAAATGTGATTGGTTGGAACTTTTGGATGCGATGGGATTGAGCACCGAATGAAAGTGAAGTCTTACCCGTGCAAAACTAGTATATGGCGAGCGCTTTTCATAAAAAAATAAACGCCGCGGCATCCGGCCACTTTCCGTTTTTAGCACGCTTTATTTTCTTCGATCATCCTCAGAGATGAAGCTTTCCTCCTTCAATCATAGGAGATCCAACAAACAGACCAGGCATGGCATGCCTGTATTATGATAGCTATGGGGGCCGCCGACAGTGCCACTCCCACATGCGCCAGCTAACGCAGGCGTGCCGCGGTCGACCTAGGTGCTGAGGAGGAAGCTGCTGCCGGCGCTTGTTACCGGCGTTATGAAGGCGCTGCTGCGGCGAAGTGGGGCATGACCGGCCCTGCTGCCACCACACACAGACGCGCGCTCGACCAGCTGAGCTCGCACGAGGCAGCTTGATGTTCCCCAGCCGGCGGCTGGAGAAGCGCCATCACAGTGCTGGGCGACGCCACAGTGACGGCCGCCCTCGCCGGCCGATGCTCACTGCTCAACCCTTCGTACCTGACGGATGCTTTTCATAATACACCCTGCGCTTCGCTTGCAAGGATGATGTGAAGGACATATCGCATGGAGGACTAACTGGGGAGCACAGATATCATCATCGGGAAAACGTGCTGAGATTAGAATGCGTGCTGGTCTGGCAGGGGGAGAAGCCAGGGCTCTGGCGGTTTCGAAACCGAATGCGTATCTAGAACAAGGATATGAAGCCGAAGTCGAAGCCTTAGCCGTTAGCTTTGACTTTGGAGCTACGTTGCGGAAGCCAGTGTATTTTTTAAAACGGGTCGAATCCCCAAGCCAGTGAGCCTTGAACTTTGAAATTCCCGAAGCGGAAGCCAGGATCAGCGGCTTCGAACGTGGAAACGCGAAGCCAAAGCCGGACACATCATTTCGAAATCACGAAGTCGAAGCCGAACTCGGATCTAGTGTGCGTGGTTTTACGAAAATAAAACCATTATTGCGTCTGCTAAAACTATAAGATCATGAAATGCCAAGGCCGACAAACTGATTAAGACAAGGGTAACTTTTACGATGGGTATTTCTATACGAGCACCAAAGCATTGGAGCTCGGCATCAGTATGCCAGGAGTTATGGTTAAACCCGCTATCACGCAAGAGTTGGTTGGCAAAAATAAGTTTAAGGAGATATGTCCATGTTCACCAGCGGGGATCGTGGTCATAAGTAACTATGGACACGGCTTTATACGTCAAGTTCAGGCGTAATCGCAGTGTTTGACTTGTAAGTCCGTTCAGCCAAGTGCCTCCTGATATATCGAAAGGCGTTCTATATTGGCCGCATAAACTCATCGTCGGTTATGCAACCGTCGCTCGATATAGCAGATGCTATGAGAACATGTTTGTCCGGTGACCTCAGTTGGTTAGAGCCTCTACTTTCAAATCGACTCGCCCGCGGCGGGACTGGTTGTAATCCCTTAGGCGCTCGTTATTTGCCCCCGACAGAGATGGCCTGCGGCCAGCGGCAGCGGGTCGAGCTTAAGGTCAGTTGACGCTAGAGGGACAGGAGCGGACCGTACCGAACATTGCGGCACGTTAAACGTTCGCACCTAAACCTACCTTTGCCCTGGAATTGCTGCGATCGAGTGGTCAGGGCCCCACAAACAAGCGCTGCTCAACGTACGCGCTGTTAACAGAAATCCATCCATTCAAAAGGTTCGGTCAAAATCTTTAAAAACAAATGTTGAATGATCAGTCATTACGGAAAATGTTGCATTACCAGTCGTTACGGAAGATGTCGGATCACCAGTCATATTTGTTGGATTATCCGTTATTACGGCAAATGCCGGATCGGCGCCCCTGCGCCCTGACGCCGAAGCTGCAATTTAAAAAATGACAACCAAAGCCAAACGTTTCAATTTGCACAAAGCCGAAATCGGGGCAAGCCGTGGAAAATGGTGCAAAGCCTAGGCTTGTGGGAATGACATCACCGAATCCGAAGCCATTAGGAAAACGGTGGTTTCTCGCATCCACTTTCTCTGCATGCTTGACAGTGGTCTTATGTAGTACTCACAGCTTGGTATCCGTAGCTTGTCTTTTATCCTTGTTCGTGCCATACCATCACGTACAAGAGCCGATCATCGTGTATTCCCGGTGACACTCACACCACGGCTCTGCTGAACACGTGCTCGGCTGCGCCGGCTACACAAGTCGCCGACAGCCGGGCCACCGCCAGCTACACGCAATAAGACTATATTTCGTTCACACCACATGTCTCGCTTGTGTACACCTCACAGTGGCCGCGGGCCCGGGGGAGCCCGGGCCGCGCGGCGCCTCCTCCCGGACACGCTGCCACCGCAGCCGCCGCTACTCCAGCGCCGGCAGCGGCTTGCCCTCCACCAGCTTGAACCAGTGACCGCACTCGCAGCGCTTGGGCTCGCCGGCCTTCAGCCACATGTAGTTGACGCAGGTGGCGTCCTCCTCACACACGCAGCCGACGATGCGGCACTCGAACCGCGACGGGATCAGGTTCGGGTTGTCCTTGGTGCCGGCGCCGCGGTAGTAGAGGCCCATGTCGAACGGATCCTGTCGGGCAACGAACCATGGTTAGTCATCGGGCCGATAGCGGTGATGGCGGCGAGGGTGGGGGGGGGGGGGGGGCATAATGGGCGGAGTGACCGGCAGACGCGTGGTACTCACGGGCGATTTAGGACAATGGCAACAGCATTTGACGTGAACAGAAACGTACCTTGTAACTAGCATCTTTCCAGACAACGGCGTACATAAATCAACGAACGCGTCTCGCACGTGACCCGACCCGGCAGACCAACTAAGCGGTGTGAAGCAAGCTGAGCCGAGCACGTAAGGTGGCGTTGCGGGAAGCAGAGCAACACGCGCACACGGGCGACGGCCAATGCCGACCACTCGCAGACCACCTGCCCAACTCACATTGTTTCCCGCCCGCCGGGCGAGCATCTCCTGCTTCTCGAAACCGGTCGCGTGCTCGAACGGGTCCGGCATCACTGCAACAGAGGAAGGCGCGCGTGACGCTTGTGAGAGCTGACACCCAACACCAGGCATGCTGCTGGTTGCAACAAACTGAGGCAGCTTTTTTAGCTGAGACAATTTGGTACCACATATTACTTTTGGTGACACAAAAAAGCAATGACACCAGGTAGGAACATGTACATACAATATACAACTTGTGGTTATGAACTAGTGAGCACATGATGGTTGCAACCCTCCAGGAGGAAAATGGTGGGTGTACAAGTACTACAAATGACCTCAATGTTTAAGTGCATCATTTTTCAGTCTGTATCAGCAATGGCTAGAAAAGAACAACATGCTGCCAACCAAATGCAATGACTGTGATAACTTATAAGCAAATGCATGCATCAACAATATCCCTTGTTTTTCTTTCACTGGACCTGCATGACATGTTTTATGTCCTTCTTCACTGCAGGCTATTTTCACAAATTAAATGCATTAAGATGTCAATACTTGCACAAAGTCATGGAAGGTGCCAAAACCTACCAACTCTACTACTTTCAGAGCTACTCATAACAGATACTGATATACACAACTTTGCAAGTGCCTTGACACCTATTTCCTTGCATGGGTTACCAATGCTTTGCTGGGCACTACAATTTCCAGTTCAGAAAGGTTGAAATTTGTTGCAATTACCACAATCAGCTGGCAATTTACATCCAGATACATAATCTGACTACAATAATCATGGTGAGAGACCATCATTGGGTAAGCAATGATTATGTTGAAAATTCATTATTAGGCAAGCAATAATTATGTTGAAAATAATACTTGTCATGGTCAACTATATGTTGTTGCTTTTTTTGCTGTCCAGCCTTTTCCAGACCACCATACTGCTGGTATGTTGTCGCCTAGTTACTGTACATTTAATCTAATAAAATTAGTCATCATTAGCCACCCGCCAAGTCAAACAGGGCCAAGCTGGTTGTAAAAGAAAAATAACAAAACAAAAAATATGGGTGAATGGTAAAAAGATACATTGTAAAAGAGTAAATTAAAAGTATATAAGAAAACATAAGTGCTAAATAACCTAATTTGCAGACCTACACTGCTGGACTATGGGCTGGGCCAAAGCTTGCCCTGAACCTAACAGGAAGGGCTCTGCACCTCTGGATATTGGGTCAGGGTAAAACATAAACTTAAACCTAACAAGGCCTCTGCCTCCTAGCTCCATGGAATGTTGGATCAAGGCTAAATTGCCTTCTAACATGGGAAGCATTGGTATATTGGTGGCCAAACTGAGAACTACTGTCATGCATTAGTGTATAATTGAACTGTGTGCCTGGTATAACCATTGAAAGCTTGCATAACTATGCTTGGTTTAATATTCTGCTGTTGAGATCAGATAGCTCGGGTGTTGCATGACTAACATCAATGTTATCTACAGGACAAATATTAATGATGTATGCAGGAGTCATCAAAATTTTGTCCCTCATTTGAGGGGTTCTTTAGTATTAAAGGGAATGTTTTATAATTGAAGATATTGGAAAAAGCATCAGGTACCACAAAACAAGCTTAGTTATAGCTATTGGTATGCTTTTTAAGTAGAAAAGACTGTTGAGACAGCACAAATATCTGTTAATAATGCTCCTTGACATGTTATGGTTTGATTACATATCTTACCTTGCAAAACAGTGATGGATAGTCACTTGATATTCACTTATCAGGAAATTGCTCACACCAACACCAGGTAAAAATGCCTTAGCAATTACATTAATCTTGGCCTTGATCACAGCATCATTTATGGAATGCCAGGATTTGAATGACATTGCTACATCATAAATGTTGAGGTGACTTTGAAATACTCTCATCTGGCATGTAGCTCAAAAATAAGAAGGGTTATAAGTTTCATGAAGAGCAGGGGATGTGAACAGCACCAAAAGGTCCTCAACATGGCTATTCCAATTAACACCTCATATAAATGTGGAACACTTTTCTAATTAATATCTAATGTGTCCCTATTTCAAGTACTGCCTGGCCAGTCTAAAAAAGCCATCTTCTGTGTCACAGGCCTATGTGACACCAGTATTCTGGACCCTGAGCTCATGTAGGTAAAGCCAGGCCAGGTCAAACTGCAGCAAAAATTCAATCACTTTTGCCTGCCAAATATTCCTGAAGTAGTTTAGCCTCAAATAACCTCTGGAGCATCATAATTCCCTGAAACATGGGCTGACAATGTTCTGACATTGGTGGCAGCCATGCCCCAAACTTTGAGCACTCAGTTTTACATCATACATGTGATGCAATTTCTGTTATAATGTCACTGCTATGCTGGAGAAGTGTAGCATACAATGCATTCTTATAGTCAGTCTGCCAGCCTGCCTGCCTGCCATTACCTTCATAAAAACTGAACCCAAGAATTGAAGCACTTCATTTGAAAAGAATAAATAAGTGGGTAACACCCTTATGCAACAGTGGGGAACACACATGTAGTGCACCCAGTCACAACCCCATCATGCCGTTAACTTGTCACTTTGTGGCATACAGTCATCTAAGAGCAATTTTCAACTAACGGAACTTAGAAACTATCAAAATGGCGTAAAACATGCCAATTGATCCCGACATCATCTTCTCGACACCATGCGGCGCTCATGCGGCAGACATTTGCGACAGACGTTGGCGAAATAGCAATATCTTACTTTTGTCACATTGTGTGGCTGATACGCTGAGATATCTTCGGGTGGAGAGGCAAATTCCCCGGCGGACAGAATTCAGAGCCATTTTGCAAAATCCAAGTGTCTTCACAACGGACGGCCCCCAGACACCGCCGCGGCCACAGTTTCCCCGAGGTAAGGAAAATGGTCCGCCTCTCTATCTGAAAATTATATTCCACATCACTATCTCACTAGCTGATGGTGGGTGCTAGACAGCGAAATTCAAGGAATATGCGTTTCCAGCCTAAGGTGGATAAATGTCAGGAAAATAATATCTGTTTTCATTTGTTCTGTTATTGTCATCAACATTAAGAAAATGAGTGAGTTGCGTTTAACTCGGTTACAATGATGTAATCGGTATAAGGAAAGCACTGTGTCCTTTTAGGTGCTTTTTGCTTTTTCATATTGAAATGTACTATGTCCTTAGAACGTTATTGAAAGGTGAACACCATACGTGAAGGGTAGAATCGTTCACCGTGGGAACTTAATTTCTACGTATTCTCCTTTAAATGAAGTCATTGTTACCACCTGCCAAGAAAATTATTCAGTATTACCACCTGTCAAGAAAATAACTTCGGTCGTTTGTTTAAAAACACCTAGCTCAATGGAGCGTGCCGAGTCAGCATCTCATCCCAACTACTTATTGCAATGTGTTGGGGCTTCTGCCGCCCTGCTCAGTCGGAAAGACTGCGCGCTGAACGCGCGACCAGTACATTCTACGTAGGTGCGTCAGTACCGTTTCTTCCCTCCTGGATTTAGGGAGCGGGGGACGACTGCGGTGACAACGCATCTTCCCAACCAATACACAACGCTAGCTACGCTTACAGGTCACTCATTGCCAGCAGACGCTGAAATCTACCAAGCGGTCACGTGGATTAAAATGGATGGTTCCTTGGATGAAAAGCTTGCTGCACACTGGCAACATTATTGAGCGTATTTCCAGGGTTTATGTTTCTTGATAACGGACATGGCTTTGTGAAAGTGAGGTTCACCGAAGCAACACCAAATACATTCCGCTTGGCATATATTCCGATACAAAACATAACAGGCGGGACACGAAGCACGCGTTCCCGCACAAAAGTGAAACAGAACACGAAGCACTGCACACAGTTATATCAATGCTTTGGACGACAGCCCACTGCAGCCTTCTTGTGAAGTGGATTGATAATTTCCATGCAACGACGCTAATAACCGAATCGATTGATGCCATCATCCTCGACATGAAAACGCCACTCAGTGTCGCCAAAATGAGACCAATATAATATTGGCAGGCAACGTTTTACGACACGGAACATTGAATCGGTGCACCGCGGTAGAATTCATCACAAGGTGCCTGCAGCGAGGCAATCTGACCGTATAATACGGTATTGCCCGTTTCGAAAGTTATGTTCACACCGCAGGACGCGCAAGAATATGTGACGGGATACAAATCACACGCACTTCTTGAATTTGCTTAGTACACAACGCATAGTCGACGTAAAACACAAACGGGGCGCGCCAAGTGGCAGCCCTGAAATGGCCCAACGAGCAAAGCTTTCACCTGGTCAACTTTCTGCCGCTACTATGGCCAGCAGAGTCCGCACCATTTCGAGACACCGTCGGCGCCGCTCCGACCCACCCCAACTCCGAGACGTCAGCCACGCCCACCCCACGAGCCCACATTCGGCCGCTGCTGCCCTCGCAGACGTCGGTCCCCTGGACCGCGTCAGCGGCAGTCCCGGCCTGCCGAGGTGCCGCTCCCGCTCTGCTGCTGATCCAGCCGGCGTCCGGCAGCGGACACCAGCCGATGGCCGACAGCGGGCATCGAGACGGCGGGGATCGGCCTACTGGAGCCGGACAGCCGCCGTGTCCGTCCCCACCAAAAGGCATCGAGACACCGGGGTCGAGACGGCGGGGATCGAGCCGCTGGAAGCCGGGCAGCCGGCCGTGTCCGTCCCCACCAAACGACATCGAGACGGCGGGGATCGAGCCGCTGGAGCCGGGAGCCGGCCGTGTCCGTCCCCACCAAACGACATCGAGAACGCTGGAGCCACTGGAGCCGGACAGCCGCCGTGCCCGTCCCCACCAAACACGAGCTCCGGCCCCGGCTCTGAGCACGGCCCGCCGCCTCCGACTCCGCCCGACGGTCCCGGGCTCGTCGGCGGCCCAGCAGCGACCGCACCTCCCACGGTCGGTCTCCAGCGGTAGCCGACCAGGCGCTGCTCGCGGCCGGCTCACTGCCGTCCCAGGCGATGGCCGGCCCCCCAGTTCCGGAAGGCGGCTCCGGCGCCAGCGCCGGCACCGGCGGCGGCCGCGGGCCGCTGCGGCGGCGCGCCGAAGCCGCCCATGCCGCCAGACGTGTTGGGGTAGGTAGTTGTACAGGAACTGCGGTGTTGCGCAGCAGCGCCGGGCCGCCGAAGTCCTGCCGGGCGGACGGCGACGGCGTGAGGCACGGTCACGCGGCGTAACTGAGGCACTGGCGTGCCTCAGTATACCGCACACGTATATGATAAACCCCACACGACATGACAGAGATCACGACACGAGGCCCATGGCGTGACGGAGGGGGGCAGAGCACGACACACCACGTGACAGAGACAGCAAGAGATTCACCGCAGGAGAGCTCCATGCCAAACTGAGTGAGCATCGAGTCTATTTGGACAGGCGGTGCATCAGGAGCGGCGGTGCCGCCGTCCACTACAGCAACGATATAGTCAGGAGCAACTGCTGCACACGTTCATTGGGAACGATACGATGTCCAAGAACACCATTGTTTATTTTATGTATCATCATCATGTTGCCAGGGATGCATATCTAGGGGGAGGAGGGCGAAAGCCGACACTAGCAATTACGCTGGGAGAGACAGCTTAGATTTGAAGCTCTAAAAATCATCGATTTGCCAGGATATTTCGAATGCGTGGAACAACAGCCCTTTGATACTTCAAAGTAATGCAATTTGCTTGACAAGAAATATATTGGCCTACCTGAGGGTATTTAAACACCAAGAAGAAGTAGAGATGTCCGATGAGAATGCCAGCCAACTCCATGGCACCTGTAACATACATTCTGTGTGTGTGTGATTGGGGCTTTACGACGCACTCAGCTGCTGAGGCTATATGGCGTCGCCTGCCTCTCACCCTGGCAGGAATGGCGGGCACCGCGGGGAATCGAACCCCGTACCTTTGGTTTCCCAGACGCGCAGTGGTTAACGCAGACGTGTTAACCACTACACTACTGGCACCCCTAACATACATTCCATGTAACAACTCAGCTTCTGAAGACTGATATTATAACAGCTCAGAACGGTCTGACAGAGACATCCTGATAGCAACTGAAACATCAAGAATGTTCGCATCATGCGAGTCCCAAGGGCCGAAACCGGGCAATTCCCTGAATCTAGCGCAAATACCAATATTCGCTCCAATTAATATGTCGCGAACACATTGCCACAGACAATAGAAGGCGATTTCCGTGCTTGCCCAACACGTCTTGCGAAGTGATATCGAGTCGCCGGGCAAGTAATATGCTTAAGGTCACGGATATCTAATAGTTGCACATGTTTATAGCCAGATGATGCGGATGATTTGGACTTAAGGGCACACTGACCGTCCTGACCCTAGGACGCCTATAAGTTTCTAACCAGGACTGACGATCCCGCTCGCGGAATTCTTTACTTACGAGCTGGAAGAGAGAGGAAGGGGCTGGAAAGACTGGACACAGCGTTCCCTTACCGCCGCCCGCTATGATGAGGTTGAAGAGCATCAGCACCCAAGGCAGATACATGGCCTTGAACTGTGTGCCGAACCAGAAGCTGACGATGGTGTCGCGGTTGTGCTGGCACCAGACGTACAGCACCGATATCACCATCGGGTCCATCAACATCTGGCGGGCGCAAGAGAAGTCACACGATGGTACGGTGCCGGAAAGGAAAGGGGGGGGGGGGGAGGGGCAACTGATGACGAAACACGGCCATCAAATCCCAGGCAAGAACGCCACCCAGGCTACCCGGGGCTCGGGGCTGATCCAAAATATTCGCTTCTCGTTTGTGGGATAGCCATGCCGATAGCTGCTAGTACGGCATTAAGGGAGGCACCCGTCCGATTGAGTCCTTCCCCGTAGCTCGGTTGGTTACGGCGCCTGTCTTCAGGTTCACCTATCCGTGGTGGGCACGGTCCAGGACGCTTTAAGCGCTCGCTATCTGTCGCTGACTGGGATGGCCTGCGCTCGGTGACAACGGCCGCGCCAGCAGTCGAGTGACGCCAAACGGACCACGCTGAGCATTTGCAGTGCATCAGGAACTGCTTAGATCGGGTTCTCGCCCCAGAAACATACCCATGGGATAGGGACAGACTAAATGTAAAAAATGGATATCTAGATAATTGATGGATGATGATCACACCTCATTCCAGGAGTAGTAGAAAAGCCAGAGTGGGCCTGCATGACACCAGCTAAATCCAAACCTAAGCTCACTAGCGTCAACCATGCGCCTGGTGTGCCCAGGTCATGGCGCACGGCAACGCGACACGCTGCCATCCAGCAGCCGCCAGCGCCTGCCACTCGGTCAGACCATCGGGTGCGCATGGACTCGACTGAGGCAACACAGCGCATCGGATCACCCACCGGATAATTCATGAAGAGGCCGACCACTACCGAGCAGAACCAGTTGAACAGCAGCATGAACAGGTAATCAGCCGGGCTGCGGGCGAATATACCTGAAAATCCGGAGAATGTCACTCTCAGCACCCAGACCAGTACGCACCGGCGTCGCTGACGTAGTCTATGCTTGCAGTTTGGCACACAACGCTCACGGCGCCGACGCGTAAACGACCACGAAAGGTCAGTTTCAGGCCCACAGGTGAAGCAACCATCAGCAGCACGAGAAATAACACAACATCCGTGATGTGTGTAGTAAATCCAACTGAGGGGAGAGAAGTCTGAACGTATGCACCCAGGTTTAGAAGAGCTGATATCTGTTACTTTTTAACATTTATCGATACATGCAATAGGGTGAGAGTTAATCGTAGTCATCGTACTATCGTCATTAGGGTTTACGATGCACTCAACTGCTGATGCTACACTGCGCTATCAGCCTCTCAACCTGGCAGGAATAATGGGCACAATGTCGCAATGTATTATGTTCACTGTGTGATTAAGAGAAAAACACATATGCACAGCAGTCAATCTCCAACACATAATCTTTTACCCGGTGTGTGAACTGTTCGCTCCCACAAGGCCTCACCTGTTTCCAAACGAAGCGAGTAATTGTACAGGAAGTACAGGTTGATGAGGAAGTGGAACCCGGTCTGCGGACTCAATGGGTACCAGAACAGCGCTGTCACCGGACGCCATATCTGAAAGATGGGAAGATCGTGCACACCAAACAGCCTCTTTCTCAGTAGGACGGCATCACCAAGGGGCACAATACATACAGAGCCCAATGTTGCAGTATCACTCACAAATTCCCGAGGCACCTTACAAAAACGAAACACCTGGCCAAGCCCTCAATAAAAAATTTACACATTTCCACACATGCATGCATTCCACAGCATGAAAATATCTGCAATGGATGTGAGGTATTTGTGGTAAAACATTTGTGATGTGAGGGCCCATAACAGATCTACAGCCTGCTTTCGCACAAGTCCACACTCCTCGCACCTACGTCGCAGGAACGCTCAAGCTGACAATTCTCTCCGCATGCGGCGGTGCTCCGCGCTCGTCCGCACCTGCAACTGCTTGAAGAAAGGTTCATACAGCAGTGCCAGGTAGTAGGCCGAGACCAGCCCGAAGCGTCCCACGAGCGTGAAGACCACCGTCAGGCCGAACCACAGCCGCGTGAACTGCGGCAGGCTGTTGAACCAGCTCTGGATGTCGCTCATTGTCGGTCACTCTGTGCAGCTGCCTGTGACAAGGGCAGGGCCACTGGTCACACTGGGCGATTGTCTGCACAAGCATCACCTCTTAATACAGCCGTGATTGGAAAGATGAAAAGTGTGGTAGCATCACACAATTATGAGCAACGGAATAGGCTGATTTGCTGATATGTAGTCATTTTCTTGTTTAGCCATTTGGAGAAGAACAAGATATTTTCATAAACAAAGCAAGTTGATATACTAAGAACAGCCATCCATTTCCCAAACATGTCGACAAAGAACATTCCTGGCATCTTGGTACATAGGAACACAATGTTGAAGTCCATGTCAATGCCAGATTCCAGTCTGGAATCCAGAATCTGAGTATAAGTCATGTCCTCAAACCCAGATCCTGATACTTTTCAATAAAATTGAGTCTAACATCCATTTTCATGGCATTAGATACAATATTTTTTTCAAATACATTCAACATTTTGTTCTAGATATTCAGCTAACAATTGGAATGCTGCTTGGATACTCTTCTGCCAGGTGGGGGGGGGGGGGGGCAATTTGATCCCCCTGAGATCTCAGAAACTAAGAGAGCTATAGACACCAAATTTGAAGGATGTTTTGGCCTGTATGTGACCTCACTAAGGTCAAATTTTGATGTTCCTAGGCAGTGTTGGAAAACTTGACATTTCCTGATATAATGCATACCAGAAGATTTTGTACTCCAGGGTTGTGACTAAGCAAAATGAAATATTTTGGACTCCATCATGATGCAACAAGAACAGCTTTCGGAAAAACTCATTTTACCTCTTTGAGCCAGGATGAAATAAAACCATAAGGTGCAACAGCTTGAGACTTGCTGCTTCCATCAGGAGCCATGTATTGATATCTGCAAGGGCACAAATCTTGCACCCACCAGACTAAGATGCCCAATAGCAAGCAGCCTGTGTTGCCACCTAGGTATATGACAAACCATGGATGGAAATGTGAAAAATAAAGTGATTGAATGTTGAATGGAATCACCTTTGAACAGTACTGGGAAATGAGAAAGGAGTACCAAAATTGCAATGGTCTGTAGATTAGCAAAGCTCTCACTTCCTATGCCCTATGCAGACCAACTCAAACTTGAACATGACTTAACCTACCATTGACGATGAACCGCATTAACTGCCAAGGATGCAACAAAGAGTCATAGAAAACCGCACGTCCAATCACCTATCACAAACGGCCGCCTACCCACCGCCACCACTGTGTCATGGCAATGCAAGTAAGAGAATCACTCGCTATTCAGCGTCAGAAAAGTATCAACTATACAGCGGCTTGCGCCCACCCCCCAGCTCAGGTTGGAGGTTGAACATAGCAAGACTCTCCATTTGGTTTTAATGATTTGCCTCCTTGTGACTGATTTGTCAGGAGCATAAATATTCTGCTCGTGCTCATGCCTTGAACAGATTTGTAAACATTTGGAAGGAAGTATAGAGATGGGCATCATGATTATGAAGGACTTATTTGTACTCATCCAGAACCAATATGTGGTTGGGTTTTTGGCCACTTCCTGGCATCCAGAGTACAAAAATATTATGGCAACTGCGGATTTAAACCAAGTTATATTTGTCACTTAGGGGTGTACAATTAAAGCTGGTAATTCAGGCTTTCCAAAAATATCCTTTTAAGTCAAAAGATGTTGCTATCCATAGCCAAAAACAGTTCGGAGGCAGCCATCTCACTCCAGTAAAAACAGCAAGACACCAGAGCAACATGAACCCATAACTTCAGCCTGGCAAACTAAGAAGAGTTTAGAAGGATAAAAAATCTATAAATTGGAACATAAATTATCATATTTTGCAATTATAGCACGGGTCTGTCAAGCAATGTACTTGTGCTGGCTCGGTACATCAGTTAAGAGTGCTGCCTGTCTCTATTGTTCAGGTGGGATGTGCAGGGCCTCCTGTGTTGACTGGGAGTGGAAAGGTGGATGCATGAATGTTTAACTGTTTTTAAATCCAGTTAGCTGGTGGAGCGTGAGTAGTGTGACCGCGGTGGAGCATGAGTAGCGTGATCATGGTGGAGTATGAGTAGGTGGCCGTCTGTGACATGTTCATTTGCATTTTTTGTGTACCATTTTTGTCTGGCTGTGCATATCATACCCACCCTCCATTTTGGAGGGTGTAGAAGCCCAGTGTGTAGCCGCCCTCCATTTTGGAGAGTGTATAAGCCTGATGTGTACTTACTCTCCATTTTGGAGGGTGTATACACAGCCTTTCATAAACTGCAAACCAATGTATATGCACATGTGTTTCATAATAGAGGGTATGCAACTGTGTTGCTTTAGTGTGCCATAATTAATACTGATGCTTCCTTTCATTTTAAGTGATTTTGCATGAATTGCTGTACATGAAAGGTGGTGCTTTTATTGAGTACCACCTAGTGTACTGCTACCTCTCAAAGATAACCTAAATAAAGCTGCAATGGCCCACAGCACTTGGACAATTTTGTACTCCACTACAGAAAATTTGCACTCCGCTACCAGGAATTTTTTGGGAATTTCCAACACTGTTCCTAAATCATAACCCTTTGGTCAAATAAGGTCAAACATGGTCAAACTCCACATGAGTGTCCCAAGTGCCCCCAGGACTTGACACCCATTCTAAGCAAAAGGTCACATGCTCAGTAAGGTCAGTGACCTTGTTTGACATTTCAATGCTATGATAGTCAAAGTCCTACAACACTGCTTAGAATTTTTCATTTGAATAAGCAAGAAAGATAATGCTACATAGTAAAGTCAAAAAACAAACTGCTGACATGGGTCATGTTAGGTCAGTGAACTATTCTGACCTTGAAGCAGTCCATGGGAGATATGCAATGTGGTTCCTGTTATCAATTAACTCAAAATGAGTACCAAAAACTAACTCATACAGCAAGTGCTAGAGTAATAAAACAGGCTGGTTTTGACCTTGGTCTGACCTTCATACCTGACCCTAAGTCAATGGAATTTACTCATTCAACTGTGAGGTTGCCTAAGAAAGTGTTACAAAGATGTCTGGCTTTGTCTAACACCCTGGAACTGCATCAAATGAATTATTCTCAAGAAACTGACTTTGTTGAATCCATGGCCTGAATTTGAGCAGCCATAGCTCAGCAACCTTACAAGGTACACCCCAATTTTTGTGATAAATGATCCACTACTCAATCATCTATAACTGCAACATTTAAAGTGGCTACACTACACTGTTCAGAAAATATTCAAAAAAAAAATTTGAGGATCAAATTAAGCCCAAACCTGAGGACATGTTGACAGGGGTGGGGTCACACCAACCCTACATTAGGGCAGAGGTTAAGACCTTAGGAATAACAGCAGCAACAATTTCAAAGCACGGGGTAAATCTACAAACCATAAATTTGGTACAGTCACCATCAATCCCAGCAGCGCAGTTACAGGCAGTGTTTTAAGGAAGCGTGAGTTCCTAAGGAAATTTCATATATGAACATCAACCAGCCAATTTTGTGCCACAAGTTACTTCAAAATTCAGCACAATTTAGTAGAAATGGATGAGCTATTAACAGACTGGTCAAAGTTATACCAGAGATGTTCCAAATGATGTACATTTTTGGCATTCCAGACACCCTTTCTGGCATGCTTGCACAGCACATAGTCATGCTTGCGCACCACGACGGAGGCCTGTGGTGGAAAAACTTAAATAAAAAAGAAGTTCACCGAAATCATACAAACTTATTTCAACAATGAATATTATTTGGCCGTCGATTACCGGCCAAAGTGCAGCGGTCCACCGCCCGAGCTGCATACAAGATCAGTCGCTGACCACATGTACAAACCTTTCACCCCACGAAATGCTAGCAGAAGAACTGCCACACAAATAAGTACGCCACAATGTTTGGGGCCAACAGTACAGCAAAACTGATTATGCGCACGTAGCCGCCACCAACCCACAACCTCCCGAAAACTCAGAGCGGAGAATGAATGCGGCGCATACGTGTGTTTTCGTGTGTTGATATCTGGCCCAAACGTGATGATGTTCTGGGAGCGCTTCCAGATCCTTCCTTGCATGCATAAAACGGCACCGTTTTGGGGGCGCCTGCGAAAATAGTGAGAACGAGTGCTTCCTCCGCTGAGCGACATGATTGCGCGCTGAGAAACGAACGAAGCACACGTGTAGGTTTACAAAATAAGTACGGCTGTGAAGTTGGAGATTAGTTTAGCAGTGTCTTTATCGACGAGCTTCAATTTCAACAAAAACGCCAAAGAGAGAACAGCACAGCACAGAAACAACAGGAATACATACGTATGTCTGTTTTCCAATAACGCTTTAATGGCAAGTCAAATTCGCTGCTGAATAACGAGAATTCCAAATTCCATCTTTTACTTGATCTGCAAGTCACGTTATTGAACACAATCAGTCATTATCGCGCCAATCAGATTCGGCGCTATCGCGCCAAAATGTAAATATCATGGGTTGTCAATAAAATTTGAGGTCATCGCAGAACAAAGAAATCCCTATATAAGTCGATGGATGGCATGACAGCATCAGAAAACCAGAAAGCGCTGCAAAACTGGTCAGTAGTAATACTGGGCACGGGGCCGCATGGGACCAGATGGCACGGGACGGAACCAGACGAAATTAGACGGAACTTACAGAGTCAAACGGGACCGAGCGCGATCGGACGAGACCAAAGGGCCCGCAAGTGACTGAGCCAAACCGAACGGGTTCAGGCGATATCGAATGCCGCTGGACGTGTTCGACAGAAGCTAGACATGACGGAAGGGGAACAAACGGAGCCGGACGGCACCGAATGGAGCGCGATGAACCAGACGGGACCGTGCAAGGTCAGACGGCACCGCACGGGGCCAGAAGGAACCGAGTGGGAATGGACGAGACTAAACAAGACCCTAGAAAAGACTGTACAGCACAGGAAGGGACCGAGTGAGACTAAATCAGCCCAGACGGGCCCGTCTGTCCCGCCCGTCCAGCGCGGGCGGGACTGGACGATGCTGGACGGGACCACGAATGGAACCAGACGAAACCAGGTGAGACTTAAAGAGACCATACAGGACCAGATGGTCCAAACTAGTTCAGCTTTGTTCCATCCACTGTCGTCCGGCCATGTCCGGTGCCATCCAATCCCGTCTGGTCCCGTCTGGTCCTGTTCAGTTCCGTCCGGTCCCGTTCGGTCCCATCTGGGCCCATGAGATCTTACCCCCTTTCATCCAGTATCGTCTGGTCTGGTCCCACCCGGTTTCGTCTGGTGTGGTCTCATCTCATCCAGTTCTGTCTTGCCTCATGAGGTTCGGTCCAGTTCTGTTCGATTCCGTCAGGTCCCTTTCTGTTCCACCCTGTTCCTGTCGTTCATTTAGTGCCGACCGATCCTATCCTGTGCGGTTAGGCCCCTTTTGGTTCCGTCCAGTCTCGCTGGTTCCGCTTTGTTCCGTTTCAATTTGGTCCTGTGTGGTTGAGCTCTGTTCCGTCCACCGTCGTCCGGCCATATCTGGTGCCGTCCAATCCTGCCTGGTCCGGTCTGATCCAGTCCTGTTCCGTCCCGTCCGTCCAGTCACGTCCGGTGCCATTTGATCCCATCAGATTTCGTCTGGTTCCACGCGGCCCTGTATGATGTGCTCTGCTCGGTCTGGTCTGGAGTGATTCCGTCCGGTCACCGTTCGCTTCATGACATTCTGTTTGATTCCGTCCAAACCGGTCGAGTTCCGCCCGGCTCCGTTTGTTCCTGTTCAGTTCGGCCCATTTCTTTTTGACCCTGTCCGTCTGCTATGGACCGCACGTGTGACGAGAAGCGTCCATCTGCCATCATGGGCTTAGTGGTCTTAAGCACGCATGTTACTATCGCCGGGTAGGAATGAATTTTGTGGTTTTGTGACGTCATCATACAATACGGTGGAAGTATAAGCGACCTTCACTTTCTTCTCATAATCAGCTGATACCCACACAGCGCGCACCACGGCTGTGTGCGTCGGGCGCTCGTGGGGGGCGCATGGGGAAGAGCGTTGGTCACTATCATTACATGACCTTTGGAGCCGAACAAAACTGCCAGGGTCGCCATAAATCTCTGGTGCATCTCCCTCTATTTGTTTAGGCAGTCTTAGGAAGTGCCACGCATACGCCGGTGCCACCCAAAAGGTACATCAGGTTCTCCCCATGTTTTCGGCTCTATATTTAGAAGTGCAAGGCAGTCATGCCCATCGCCCTCCCTCCCCCCACGCTGGAAATAACATGTTGCTTTTTTATTTTGCCAAGAGCTGAATGAAGTATGTGGGCTCCCTCCCAAAGTTGGTTGCACAACCATCCATGACTGAGTTTTTCATGTGATTGATAATTTTTGTAGGATGTATTTTTCTGCTTGTCAATAATCTCAGGCTTGTCAGCCATGCAATTTATCATACTTATACCACTTGGAAACATTGTAAAAGCTACATTGTTTGTGTACTGGAAGGATACTATTTTATTAGTGTGGACACCAACATTGTGGCAGTGGCACTTGTCAGCTCATATTTATTGGTTTTGGTCAGAGCTGGCTGAAGGATACCATTTAACCTGGTTGCTGCTAAGTACCCAGAATGGGTATTGCTTGGAAGTTGAGTTGCACCAAAGGGGTGGATAAGAAAGGTTTCATTGCTTAGGTGATGCAAATGTCAGTCTATTGTAAACATTTTCTGACTGATTTATGACTTCTTGCATTATTATATTGCCAGCCAGTTCTTGGTTTTAACTTGTTTTGTTTTATTTAACTGCTCCACTAAATGTTTGTCCTCTTTCAATGCAAATGATGAACAGAAACACCAAACCATTAGAAAATGAATATCTATCTAACAGGAATCAAGTGTATATGGCATGCATCAAAATCAATTTCAAATCATATTAATGTGAGCATTTCAAGCTAAATAGTAGGCCTCATCCATCAGATAGATAGCATCTTTTATCCAACACAGTTCTTATTCACACAATAAATTGTATTGGATGTGCTTGTAATGGTAGGAATTGTGTATGGGGATGTTGTACTATTTGCATTGGACAAGAATTGTTGCATTGAACCTATCCTGTGCTAACAATACAGCTGCATTGTAAAGCCTGTTTTGTTTGAATGCTAGCTGTTCATGAATTGTATAGGCATTTGCTTTGTTTTCAGGAAAATACAGCACCATGGATGATGACTGGGATCAGGAGGTGGCAGCACTTCAGGTTCAGTCTAGCCAGCAACACCCACCACTCCAGGAAAACAGACAAGGGCAGAATGAAGGCCAGGGCTTGGTAGGAAGAGGCAGAGGCCAGGCCTGGCATGCTCAGAATGTTGGCCAGACCTGGGGTGCTCAGAATGGTGGCCAAGCCTGGGGTGGCCAGAATGTTGGCCAAGCCTGGGGTGGCCAGAATGGTGGCCAAACCTGGGGTGGCCAGAATGGTGGCCAAACCTGGGGTGGCCAGAATGGTGGCCAAATCTGGGGTGGCCAGAATGGTGGCCAAGCCTGGGGTGGCCAGAATGGTGGCCAAACCTGGGGTGGCCAGAATGGTGGCCAAACCTGGAGTGGCCAGAATGGTGGCCAAGACTGGGGTGGCCAGAGTGGTGGCCAAACCTGGGGTGGCCAGAATGGTGGCCAGGCCTGGGGTGACCAGAGCAATAACCAGGCCTGGGGTGCCCCGGCCAGTGGCCAGCCCCGGGGCAGCTGGAGCAGTCGGCAAGCCAGATGGTCGGGGCTGGAGGGGGGCGGGGCGTCGGCCGGAGCGGGGCGCCGAACTGGCGTGGTGCAGCTGGAGATCCGGGCGGGGAGGCGGGCCGGCCGCCGGCCCCGGACGGCCTCTCCATGGTGATCGCCGCGGCGGACGTGAGCCGGGTGATCGGCCGAGCCGGCGCCAACATACGCGAGCTCGAGGCCAACTCCGGCGCCAGGATACGTGTGAGTGCCCTCCAGAGAACTGTGCCAAAGGCCCTGCCAAAACTGCCTTGCAGGGAGTGGGCCGTCCATCTTCAGGGAATGACCAGGATGAATGAACTTAAAATTCATCAGGTTCAAATGGCGAATGAATATCGGAATGTGTGTAGCTATTCAAGGACTATGGGTGACTGTTCAAGATGACAAAGTTGTTTTGAAAGGAAGTGGCAATGTACACCGAGGTCCGAGCTGGCTCTGCCTGCCAGTGCGTGTTAATTTTAAGTGTGTCCATTTACCTTGAGACATAACAAGCAGGTTTTGCCCCACCAAAGTAAAGCAGTGAATGTAATTGCCCGCGGGCGATCCGGTGGCCCGCCGCCCAGTCGTGTCCGCCGTTGACCGACGCCGTCCGCCGTCCTCAGATCGACCGGTGCGGCGGCGGGCCCGAGGCGCGCGTCGACTTCGTCGGCGACGCCAGCAGCCAGGAGCGCGCCAAGCTGCTGGTGGAGCAGTTCCTGCTGGACTGCACGGAGGAGCGGCCAGCGCGGGGCCGCCGTGACCGCAGTGCGTCACCGGTGCCGCGCCGGCCGGCGGCCGTGGGTCCCGAGCCGCGCTCCGACCGGCCCGCCTTCAGCCTGTCCATGGCGCTGCAGATGCAGGTGCGTCGTCGCCAGGGGCTGTCCTGTTCCCTCCTTCCTGGCGCCGCTCTCCTTGTAGACTGCCGACCCGTGTCACGACGGTGCTGTGCGGTCATTGGTGGCAGGAATGAGCCTGTGTGGAGTCTCGGACTGTGCAGCGTTAGCCATCCTCTAGGTCCGTAAGCTCTATAGTGTATCCTGCTGGCACACTAGTGAAACTTGTGGAAGATCTTGACGCCCCAATACAACAAAATGTGCTCCTGATCACGAGCTCAAACCAAACCGGTTGTCATCACTGCAATTTATGCCGTACCTGAGGGCCTCGGGCTCGTCATGTCTTCGGCACGTTCCGTCACATCACACCTGTAGCTTTTGCCTGCGCCTCCGGCGGCTCTTCGTGTATCCGTGATCCAGCGTCTCTGACCGGACGCCAACCGCTCCATGCCAGGCGGATGGCGACAAGGAGCGCTGGAGCAAGGTGCCGCCTCTGCAGAAGAATTTCTACAAGGAGGACCCGGCCGTGGCGGCTATGCCGGACGACGAGGTGGCGCGGGTCCGGTACGGTATCCGGCCGTCTTGTGTGGCCCAGCGGCTAGATCACACCTTGTGTTAAATATGTAAATGTGAGATACTGTAAAAGAAGCCGGAAACTATTTGAATGCAGTGAGTCGTGCACCAAGTGTGGTGATTTGCCTACAAATAGCCTGAGATATAAAAATGTGTCGGATACTTCACTAAGATGATGCAGTTTGTCTCTTGACTTCATAAAGTGGCCTTGTTTTTAGTAGGCCAGGTTTGCCATTTTTTATCCGTTGATAGTGTTGTAGTTGAAATTGCGTGACCTTCAACTCACTTCAGCTATTTCATGCCATTCATCAATTCACGGCTGGTATACTCTTTACATTCGAAATAAAGACGCCGACACCGCGCATCGCGCGACGCTCGTGCCGCGTCACCGTCGCCGCTCTCGCCGCGCAGCGCCGAGATGAACGACGTGCACGTGAGCTGCGACGAGAAGGACGCGCCGCTGCCGAACCCGGTGACGACGTTCGAGCAGGCGTTCGCCGCCTACCCGGAGATCCTGGACGAGCTGGTCAAGGTGGGCTTCGAGAAGCCGACACCGATCCAGGCCCAGGGCTGGCCCGTGCTGCTCTCCGGTCAGGACATGATCGGCATCGCGCAGACCGGCTCAGGTCAGTGGCAGAGCGGCGGGCCTCGCGCCGCTGCTGCCGTCTGGGAGCGGCGGGTGTTAGAGGCCGTACCGCGACCGCGTGCTTTTGCCGGTACCGTGACCGTGGCGTGACGGAATGCTCCGCTGTTTTCGGCTCCGGCAACCGCACGCCGGGGTGGTGCCAATTGACTTTCGTCGGTTAGTTGTCAGTCTGCGTGTGCATGCGTGCTGCCCGCCTCCGACGCTGGCACTCACCAGCCGACGCTGTCTGCCCGTTCAGTGCTGTGCGTATGCTGCGGCCAGGAGCGGCACCAGTCAGCTGAGGTCTGTCCACGTCTCGGCCGGGGGAGAGGGGTGGAGTCCGTCAGTCAGCTGACGGTCTGTCCATGTCTCGGCCGGGGGAGAGGGGTGGAGTCCGTCAGTCAGCCGACGGTGTGTCCATGTCTCGGCCGGGGGAGAGGGGTGGAGTCCGTCAGTCAGCTGACGGTGTGTCCCGTCTCCGTCGGGAAGAGGGGTGGAAGTCCGTCAATCAGCTGACGATCTGTTAACGTCTCGGCCGGGGAGAGTGGTGGAGTCCGTCAGTCAGCTGACGACCTGCCCCCGTCTCGGCCGGGGAGAGGGGTGGAGTCCGTCAGTCAGCTGACGGTGTGTCCCGTCTCCGTCGGGAAGAGGGGTGGAGTCCGTCAGTCAGCTGACGGTCTGTCCACGTCTCAGCCGGGGAGAGTGGTGGAGTCCGTCAGTCAGCTGACGACCTGCCCCCGTCTCGGCCGGGGAGAGCGGTGGAGTCCGTCAGTCAGCTGACGACCTGCCCCCGTCTCGGCCGGGGAGAGGGGTGGAGTCCGTCAGTCAGCTGACGGTGTGTCCATGTCTCGGCCGGGGGAGAGGGGTGGAGTCCGTCAGTCAGCTGACGGTGTGTCCATGTCTCGGCCGGGGGAGAGGGGTGGAGTCCGTCAGTCAGCTGACGGTGTGTCCCGTCTCCGTCGGGAAGAGGGGTGGAGTCCGTCAATCAGCTGACGATCTGTTAACGTCTCGGCCGGGGAGAGTGGTGGAGTCCGTCAGTCAGCTGACGACCTGCCCCCGTCTCGGCCGGGGAGAGGGGTGGAGTCCGTCAGTCAGCTGACGGTGTGTCCCGTCTCCGTCGGGAAGAGGGGTGGAGTCCGTCAGTCAGCTGACGGTCTGTCCACGTCTCAGCCGGGGAGAGTGGTGGAGTCCGTCAGTCAGCTGACGACCTGCCCCCGTCTCGGCCGGGGAGAGGGGTGGAGTCCGTCAGTCAGCTGACGACCTGCCCCCGTCTCGGCCGGGGAGAGGGGTGGAGTCCGTCAGTCAGCTGACGACCTGCCCCCGTCTCGGCCGGGGAGAGGGGTGGAGTCCGTCAGTCAGCTGACGGTCTGCCCCCGTCTCGGCCGGGGAGAGGGGTGGAGTCCGTCAGTCAGCTGACGGTCTGTCCACGTCTTGGCCGGGGAGAGCGGTGGAGTCCGTCAGTCAGCTGACGACCTGCCCCCGTCTCGGCCGGGGAGAGGGGTGGAGTCCGTCAGTCAGCTGACGGTCTGTCCACGTCTCAGCCGGGGAGAGTGGTGGAGTCCGTCAGTCAGCTGACGACCTGCCCCCGTCTCGGCCGGGGAGAGGGGTGGAGTCCGTCAGTCAGCTGACGACCTGCCCCCGTCTCGGCCGGGGAGAGCGGTGGAGTCCGTCAGTCAGCTGACGACCTGCCCCCGTCTCGGCCGGGGAGAGCGGTGGAGTCCGTCAGTCAGCTGACGGTCTGTCCACGTCTTGGCCGGGGAGAGCGGTGGAGTCCGTCAGTCAGCTGACGACCTGCCCCCGTCTCGGCCGGGGAGAGCGGTGGAGTCCGTCAGTCAGCTGACGACCTGCCCCCGTCTCGGCCGGGGAGAGCGGTGGAGTCCGTCAGTCAGCCGACCTGCCCCCGTCTCGGCCGGGGAGAGCGGTGGAGTCCGTCAGTCAGCTGACGGTCTGTCCACGTCTTGGCCGGGGAGAGCGGTGGAGTCCGTCAGTCAGCTGACGACCTGCCCCCGTCTCGGCCGGGGAGAGTGGTGGAGTCCGTCAGTCAGCTGACGACCTGCCCCCGTCTCGGCCGGGGAGAGCGGTGGAGTCCGTCAGTCAGCTGACGGTCTGTCCACGTCTTGGCCGGGGAGAGCGGTGGAGTCCGTCAGTCAGCTGACGGTCTGTCCCGCTCGTGGCCAGGGAAGACGCTGGCGTTCCTGCTGCCGGCGCTGATCCACACAGATCTGCAGCCGATCCCGCGCGAGGAGCGCGGCGGTCCCAACGTGCTGGTGCTGGCGCCCACCCGCGAGCTGGCTCTTCAGACCGAGAAGGAGGTCAAACGGTGAGAACCGAACCACAAGCGTAGCGCGTGACATGTGTGTTCGTGCCCAAGCTGTAGGCACAGCCTGGGCTCTTAAGTAACCGGGTGAAAGCTAATGTGGTAAAATTCTGTAAGGAATGGGGCGTGTGTAGGAAGATCGTAGCGATACGGTATGGGTGTGGTGGCGAAATGTTGCCAATGACAAAACTTCAGATGGGATAAATATCGATTGGGTATAGGTTGGACGCCATCGTATCATACATGATAACAATCATATGCGAATAAGATCGTCGTGTAAAAGGACGATGTGGGACTGGATTGCACTTGCATGTCGTACGAATTAACGAGCTTCGCGTATTGTTTTGCTCCCTGGTAAGTATATTCGTAACTGTTTTCCTAGGCTCCGATGAGGTCGGCCGACATGTCGCCACCATGGCCTCGCTCTTAACTGCTGTACGTGAGGGGGCCCCCGCCCAGCTGATCAGCTGACCGCTGCGGCGGCAGTTTCGCCTCGCCCCCCTGCCTGCGCGTCGTGTTAATGTTGCACAGTCCTCGCTACTCATCCTGTGGCCGTGACGCGGGTGCCGGTTGTCGCCAGGTACAACTACAAGGGGATCCGGAGTGTTTGTGTGTACGGCGGCGGCGACCGACGCACGCAGGTCAAGGCCGTCTGCTCCGGGGTCGAGATCATCATCGCCACGCCGGGCCGACTCAACGACCTGGTTCAGGCCGGTATGGACTGGTCGGGGGTGAGGGGGGGGGGGGGCGCTCCGGCTGGACCGACAGAGCCGGCGGTGACGCGGGCTGACTGGATGGGTGGAAGGAGCAGAAATCGGCTGGAACGCAAGCGACTGATAGACCGACAGCGGCCGACGAGTCAGTCGTGCTTACTCTGGGTTGTCTGTATGTCTGTGCGGCAGGCAGCGTTGACATGAGGCTGTCGGAGTTTTTTATAAATACAAAATGGGTAATCCAATTGGTGTGGATGCGAGGGGGGGGGGGCTCTGGCCTCAGAGCACCTATCAAGCAAAGCTTGTTGCATGTACCCTGATCTCACCACCCAAACTGAACCACTCAGCTCTGCAGATAAGTTTGCCATCTCGCTTGCGCCGCACAGAATTACGGGGGGTTGTGCTTGTGTGCTTCGGCGTTGCCTCCCGGCCCTGGGTTGACCTTCATTGGGCGGTGCCTAACTGACCTTTTGGTGTAACCCGGACCAAACAACACGCCCGCTCTGGGCCTTACGCCCAGCGTGGCCTCGCCCCAGATGACGCGGCTGTCCGCGTGGCCAGCGGGGCTCGTGGACGTGTCGCGCTCAGTGTCCTCTCGGCGCGGCCGGCAGGGTTCATTGACGTGACGTCAGTCACCTATCTGGTGCTGGACGAGGCGGACCGCATGCTGGACATGGGCTTCGAGCCGGAGATCCGCAAGGTGCTGCTGGACATCCGGCCCGACCGGCAGACCGTCATGACCAGGTGAGTGGCGCGGGCACGTGACAGACCGGCGTGTGTCCCCGTCGATCGCTAACGTGATCCGCTCTTCTGGACTTCAGCCCAAGGTTTCGGCCTAGATCCACGAATTACGTGTCTTTCCTCTTACACGGCATTCAGAGAGCATGCCAAGCAGATTACCCCGCTCCCCGCCGCTCGCTGACCTGGGGCGTGCAGCCCACGGCCGGGGCGCCGTCGCCCTGCGCGGCTGCTGGGCGCCGGCCGCCGGTGCTGACGCCGCGCCGCCGCCGCCGCCCGCTGACCTGGGGCGTGCAGCCCACGGCCGGGGCGCCGTCGCCTGCGCGGCTGCTGGGCGCCGGCCGCCGGTGCTGACGCCGCGCCGCCGCCGCTCGCTGACCGGGGGCGTGCAGCCCACGGCCGGGGCGCCGTCGCCTGCGCGGCCTGCTGGGCGCCGACCGCCGGTGCTGACGCCGCGCCGCCGCCGCCCGCTGACCTGGGGCGTGTAGCCCACGCCCGGGGCGCCGTCGCTGTCGCCTGCGCGGCTGCTGGGCGCCGGCCGCCGGTGCTGACGCCGCGCCGCCGCCGGCAGCGCCACCTGGCCGGTGGACGTGCGCCGCATCGCCGACAAGTACATGCAGACGCCCATCCACGTGGTGGTCGGCACGCTGGACCTGCAGGCCTGCCGCACCGTCGAACAGATCATCGTCTTCTGCCGCGACGAGGAGGAGAAGAAGGAAAAGGTACGGCGCGCCCATTGGCAGCAGCAGGGAAGCGCCACATGCGCCCCGCACGTGGCGCTAATCGGCGGGGGAGGGGCGCACGTGGCGCTGAACGACAGGGGATGGACACCCTGTTATCACTAAATCATTCACGCTCACGCTTTTCCGTCATTTGTCGTCCTTCACCATGATCTCGTTTCTTACGGTTGTTTGGCCGGTGGGAACACATCTCAAGTTGTCGTTAAGGGAGATGTCGTTATACCGTCTTCGCGAGACGTTGTGAATGGGTCTGTTTTGTCGCCTATGGCAGTGCGCATGGGTCGGCCGAGCCTTGCGCGGTGACCACCCTGACCTTGTTCACGTGCAGTTGGACGAGTACCTGTACAACATGGGACCCGATGAGAAGATTATCGTCTTCTTTGGCCGGAAGGCTAAGGCCAGCCAGCTCTCCATAGACTATGGTCAGTTTTCAAGTGTGTGTGTTATGCCGCGGCACTCCACCCTCCTCTGTTGTGTTTTCCAGGTCGATGCGAATATTGTTTGGGTGTTCCGCCACTGTCATTGCCCATAGGCCGTGATCACGTTTCCCCGTACCCGGGCTTTCCTAAGCGTGAGCTGTGCGGACTGTGGGGTTGACGGCGCTCTTGACAGTCCTTTTGCCCCCCCCCCCCTTCCTCGTCAGGTGCGGATGGCGTGGATCTGTAGAGTTAACGACGCTCCTGACCCCCCCCCCCCCCCCCCCGTCAGGTGTGAACGGCGTGGACCTGCAGAGTATCCACGGTGACCGGCCGCAGGAGGAGCGCGAGATCGCCATCGAGGACATGCAGTCGGGCTCATGCCGCGTGCTGTTCGCCACCGACGTGGCGTCGCGTGGCATCGACATCGCCGACGTCACGTGAGCTTGCTCCGCCCGCCAGTCTGGATCACGTGATCCTCCTCCACCCGCGCGGGACGGCCCGGGGCGGGTTCTCCTGGGTGGTGCGATGGGTGACGCTGCCAGTGCCACCGCTCGCGCGCAGTGGAGCCCTCGCGACATGTGCCGTCAATAGCCGCGCCGTGCTCACGAGGAAGCCCCATTGGTAAGACGGGCGTCGGTAGTCATGTCCGTGCTGACGGGGAAGCTGTCCATACACGGCGTGTAGTCGTCGCGTGACGCTGGTCAGCATGCAGCGGCGATCGCGAACGGCCCGGTGAGGCTCTGAACGGCGCGACTCTCAACCCGCAGGCTGATCGTCAACTTCGACTTCCCGCGCCACATCGAGGACTACGTGCACCGGGTGGGCCGGACGGGCCGGGCCGGCAAGACCGGTCGGGCCGTGACGTTCATGGTGCGCGAGGACTGGCGGCACGCGGCCGAACTCATCGAGATACTGCAGAAGAACCAGGCGGTGAGTGAACGGCCGCGCCCGGCCTGCTCATGACATGCCTCGGTGGAGGCAATGTCTTCTAACCCAAAACTCCCCGTGGAGATGCCGGGGTTTGAACCCGGGGCCTCTCACATGCAAAGCGAGCGCTCTACCACTGAGCTACATCCCCGCAAAATTAGTGTGGTGGCTGCCAAATTCGGTGCCCGTCTGTGACCGTGTTGCAATTAGTAGCGAGTCAGGTACCTACACCCTGAAAGAGATGGGGAGTTATCTCAAGGTAGATTGGTCATGGTTTCCGTCTTCGGCTGGGATGTCTGCTAAATTCATTCTCATGAAAATAAGATGCGTCTTTCAAGGCAAAGGATCACGTTGCTCGCCGACTTAAGCTCCTGCCACGTTGAGCCGACATGATCTGACAGTGTTATTTCCGCTTTGGTTGAAACTTCAATACCTACATGCAAATTGCTGATATTTACCACTTGCGGCGTCCAAAATCAGCGCTTGGAGATGCCGGGGTTTGAACCCGGGGCCTCTCACATGCGAAGCGAGCGCTCTACCACTGAGCTACATCCCCGCGGCGCTCTGCTCGGCGGGGCTGCCAGAAACGAACACTACCTAGGAATACTGCGAGCGAGTGGGGAGCGGCAAAACAAGATGCGAGAACAACACAGCATAGTGTGGCTCCGCATTGGGGTCTGCACTGAGCCATAGCTCTGATCTGCCGTGTCATCCGATGCAAGAGTAGGCACACCAAATATTTAATCGAGTAATAATTGAATAAATGTATATAATTACATCTTGTAATATGTTACCTATTCAAAGCCAAAAAATTAATCGAGGATTAGGGTGAACGGTGCTTGAGCTGTGCGTCTGGGAAAGCAGAGGTAGAGGGTTTGATTCCCCGCCGTTCCCGCTCTTCCTGTCGGGGTGAGAGACAGGCGACGGCATGCAACATTAGCAGCTGAGTGACTAGTAACGCCTCAATGACACGAAATCCAGAAAAGCTTGGAAATGGTTCTGATGGCCGCACGCGAAAAGCACTTTGCTCTGGCCGTGGGATTGTTTAAACTTGCAAGTCAAAGGCGCGTCACGTTCTTCCTTAGCACACGCCAGAACTTCGGGACCGATTTTACTTGTTGTCGGTAACGGCAACATCCATGAGGTGTGATTTGCATCCAGATGTTTGCACTCTCATTCGTCCCGTTTCCCATGCTCGATGGCAACAACATTCGTCTCGTTTCCCATGCTCGACTGGCCTAAAACTGTCCGCTGGAGATGCCGGGGTTTGAACCCGGGGCCTCTCACATGCAAAGCGAGCGCTCTACCACTGAGCTACATCCCCACTGAACCCCGATGTTAACGGGTGATCGCCAAAACGGTCGGTCGTTTGTGAAAACGCAGTAAGTATTGACGGGTGGTATATTAGCAAAGACTCAAGTCCGGTCCGTGCCGGGCTGACGCCATGGGCAGGCGGATGAAACCCACTAATGAAAACCAAACCCAGGTCGGTATTGTCCTCGCACCGTCAGAGTGTCGGAGTGCACCGCCGCACCGTCGGAGTGACGAAGCGCACCGTTGCACCATGTCAATGTCGGAAGTAATCATGTGCGTCTAATGAAAGCTGGATGTTTGTGCGGTTGAAAACGTCGCCCAGGCTCCCATTACTTGCGGCGAAAATATGTCGCATCAAGTGTTTCGCCTACTCCCCCCTCCGTCATCTGGCGTGACTTTTACGGACCTTCGTTGCCTACTACAGTTGCAACGGGAAGAATGTTGTCTGTGTGGTCCGTTGGGATACCGGTGTCTTGTCACATGCGAGGAGAGCATATCACTGAACGCCATTTCCCTGGATACATGCGCTGAGTGGCCTTGGACCTCTTCGTAAGCTCCAGATGCACTCATTTTCTAAGGTGGCTTTAGTCTGAGGAACTCTGCCCGTCTTGGCCAGTCATGGAGTCGAAAATCAAGACTTGGAGATGCCGGGGTTTGAACCCGGGGCCTCTCACATGCGAAGCGAGCGCTCTACCACTGAGCTACATCCCCGTGCGCGCCGCTGTCTTGTGGCTGACAGTGGCGGACACCCTTCGGATGACATCCTCCTGGTTCCTGACATTTCTTCCTAGCAACCAGTTCTCGGTCACTGGTGCTTGGACCACGAATAACCCAGGAAACAGTTCGGTATCCGGCCCGGACCCGGCAAGGAACAGGATCCGGCCCTGAACGTGCCAAGGAAACCAGCAAGAAGCAGGATACAACAAATTGTGCAAGACAGCCAATGAGAACCAGGATGCAGTGTTAGGCCAAGTCGCGATATTTAGCAAAAACAAAATCCAGCCGGAAATCTGGCCAGGGAGCCGGCGAAAACCAAGACCCAGCCAGGAATCACTTGAGGATCCAGCTAACACCGAGATCCGGTGTAGAGTGCTGTCAGAGGAACCAACAAGAACCAGAATCTAACATGTCTTGTCATAAAGCAATGCCTTTTCACATGTAACCTGTAACATCCAGCATTGAAATGTCTGATGGAAAATCAGTGAAACCTGGTTGGCTGACAAGCAACACAAAATGAACGCAACAAAAATCAAGAAGATAATGGAGATATTGGTGATACATGGGCCGCACAAGGGGAGCATGGCGGGCATGTGTCCATTTCGCCGTCCTCCCTTTCGTGTAACGAAAAGGTACTCGGAAATGCGCAGATAACTTAATATATCCTTATATATGTGATGTCTGTTGAATCCCCTGTGATAGGAATTGAAATCATGACGGGACGCAAGCGTCCGCTTGTCCATGGGCGCCCCGTCGCTATCAGGATCCAACAGTCAATTGTTTTGCGATCTTTCGGACGAGCTTGCATGGTTGACTATGATGGCTTCTGATAATGCCTGAGCAAAGTTTGTTGTGTATGCCTTGAAGTTACCACCCGATTTTACCGGCCGTTTCTACGGGAAATGTTGTCCCGAGTTGTCCACCAGATACGACTGCTGAGAGTGCACAATGTTTGAGGCCCTCCCCCCCCCCCCCCCCCCCGAGGCTCTGCTGACCTTCGTTGGCCAGCCGCCAGCCGACCTTTCCATATCAATCGGGCCTTCACGGCAATGCCCCCTTTATCGTCGAGGGGCAAGAAGGGCCAGGAAGTGTGCCTCGTGGCGACCGCACGTGGTACGCGCTCCAAGATTGTACCTGAATCTAACACAAAAAGGATGCGAGATGTCGTTTTTATAAAAGCCCTATCCGTTAAAGGGACTCTTCCGCATTTGTATGGAATTTTGAACTGAAATATTTGTTTCTCAAGATCATTTTGTATAGATAAGATTTATGCATTGTTAGGGCCACAAACCCTTTTTTCTAACGTAGACGTACACGAGCTTTTGCAGACATATATCTGTATGACGTCATAGAAACATCACACGATTTCCTCCGCCTTAATGGCCATATTGTGTTCAAGGTCTAAAGTAGTGTAGTTATTTGATTATTCGTGTGTGGAGCACGCCAGCATGAATCGTCGCGCTGGCGCACAGCGGTTGGTTAGCAAGAGGTTATGCCACTGACTGCGTGCCTCGATTACGATTGGTTATCTGGATAAAAGCCGTATGGGCCAATAATGACCTTTTTCGAATGGAAATGACCTTTTCAGGACTATGGGACGAAGGGAAATGGATAACGATGGGGCAGGACCACATGCACCTGGGAACTCAGCCGCCTGGACGTAACTCGCGCAGGGATCCATCTGCGGGGCCCCAACAGAGGACACTCGTAGCTGGCGAATACAGCCTGACCCAGACAAGCGGGGGGTCGCGAGGTTGCAGGGCAAAGCGAGAAATAGAATGAAGGCACGGAATCCGATCATGGACCGCTGTTTGCCGTCGATCATGACCTGCATTTGTGATAACTGGCATGCATTTGGGAGTAAACAAGACGGAACCACGGAAAAGTATGCAAGAATGTCACGGGAAAAGACCAATACACGCCCACATACTGCCGGTAACATAAACGCACGCTCATAGGCCGCTAACGCCAACTGGCGGCGCGTTCAATACCACGAGTAAGTCGCTCCGTCCGAAATATTAGCAGCCAATCTGGCAGCGACTCTGTCGTTATAAAAAGACGTTGTATTACGTAGTCAAACGGTGGCGCATTGAGCAGCAAATTGAGGAAACAGTTTAATTTTGCTGTTTAAAGGAGTATTCTACATGTATATGAGGGTTTTGAACTGAAGTGGCCATCTTGAGGACCTTTCGGTGCTGTTCGCAGTTATGTCCTGAAGACCTAAGATCCTCTAGTTTTTTAGCTACACGCCCGCGAAAATGGGCGCAGATATGTCGGGAAAGTGTTTTAAAGCCACATTGGCATTCATGACGTGCTGACATTTCAATCCTGTCATTCCATAAGCCATGTGGTGATCAATGCCAAGAAAAATATAATCGTCGAGGCACTCATATCCGACGTTGGTGAGCGCTATTTCCAAGTATAACGGACGTCACCTGGCTCTCAATTAATGTTAAGTAAGGTACGATGGCGTGATCAGATCATGGCACACTGAGTAGCATATTTACTAAACAGAATTGTGTTGTACAGGACAGTCTTTTCCACTTAAAAAGTATACCAATAGTTACAAGTGAGCTTTGTTCATCATATCTGATGCTTGCTTCAATCTCTTTAAATGTGAGACGTTCTTTGGAACACTCCCTAAAGGAACTGTTCCACGTTTGAGGATATTGAGGGACACATAAAATATGGTGAAAAAGCTCACTTGCAACTGTTGGTTTGCTTTGAAGTGCAAACGATTGCTGTAGAAAATGGCATGCCACTTTTTAGAAGAACGCCCCTCACTGCGTCATAGTTTTTATCACGTTAGGTAACGGTCTCATGACTTCAAAGTCACTGCTCGACTAGCCGTGTCGAGGTTGCCACTGTGGTGGACGGGCTCACTCACTGGTATGACTTCAACTCGCCGCACTGCTGCCGCTGCGATTTTTAGTAGCACTGGCGAAAAATGGCCGACTTGATATATGCGCTGT